CCCGTCTCCCGTGAGGTCACGGCCCCGACGGCCAATGAGCGCTCACTCCCGCATGAGGTTACACCCTGATAGCCAATGAGCGCCCGCTCGCCCATGAGGTCACGGGCCGGTGCGGGATGTCACACCCCGGCGAGCGGTGAGGCTCCCCCCTCCCCTGTGAAGCCAGGCGCTGCCCCACGACGTCGCACCCTGCCAGCCAATGAGCGTCCCACGCCCTTGTGAAGTCATGGACCGCCTTGGGATGTCACAGCCTGCCAGCCAATGAGCGTCCCGCTCCCTGTAAGGTCACAGGCAGCCCCGGGATGTCACACACCACTGGCCAATGAGCACCCTGCTACCTCATGAGGTCGCTCACTGCCAGGCGACGAGCGTGCGGCTCCCTGTGAGGTCACAGGCTCCCCACTGAGGTCACACAGCGCCCAGTGGGTAAGCACACAGGCTCTGGTGTGAGGTCACGGGCTCTCTGACGAGGTGGCGGAGCCCTCAGCCAACCACCACCCAGTGCGTGTCCCCAAGGTCACCCAGTTGCTCGTCGTTGCTCTTCCATGATGTCACAGGGCCCAACCAACGGGCTCACAGGCTCTCCCTAAGGCCCGGGCTCAGCCAGTGAGCACACAGCTTCCCCAGGGAGGTCACGGGGCGCTCAGCCAACCAGCGTCCCCGTTCCCCATTAGGTCACACGGCGCTCAGCCAACAGGCCCGCCCTCTCTGCGTGAGGTCACAGGCTGCCCGATGAGGTCAGAGAGCACACGTGCTTTTGGGAGCGCGGCCGGCCCGGCGCGGCAAGGCGCGATTACACCTCACCCAGATCTCTCTCACCCGTAATTAATGAGAAGCGGTGATAATTAAAGCAGGCGGCACTAGCGCAGCACGGCTCCCCGGGGGGCCGCACGCCTCCTCCCGCCGCCCCTGCCATGGAGGGAACGCGCTGCCGCCCAGAGACCACCCCGAGGGGCTCAGCGCCCCCCGCCCGGCTGTCCCCTGCTGCCATCCTGCAGCCTACCTGCTCC